CTTAGCTGCTCCCGGGCCCCCAAATCTGCCGGGGCCCCCTTTTACACACATGCTGGGTGTGTTCCATTTTTTGTCATAGGGTGCTGGCAGATTACGGGCCTCCCCATAGCTGCTGCCAGGCCCCTAATCTGCCATGGGCCCCTGTACCGCTCCTCATGCTGCTGCCAGGTCCACAGTGTCTCATGCCATGTGCCACTTTCAGGTCTCCTCACACTGCTGGTCTGCTGTGTTCCATTTTTTGTCATAGGGTGCTGGCAGGATTTACGGGCCTCCATTGCTGCTGCCAGGCCCATTAAATCTGCCATGGGCCCTGTACCGCCTCTCTATGCTGCTGCCAGGTCCACGTGTCTCATGGGTCCCTGTACGGCCTCCCATTGCTGCTGTCTCCATCCGCCACACTCTGCCATGTGCCACTTTCAGGTCTCCTCAAACATGCTGGTGTGTTCCATTTTTTGTCATAGGGTGCTGGCAGATTACGGGCCTCCCATTAGCTGCTGCCAGGCCCCTAATCTGCCATGGGCCCCTGTACCGCCTCCTCATTGCTGCTGCCAGGTCCAGGTCTCTCATGGGTCCCTGTATCGGCCTCCCATTGCTGCTGTCTCCATCGCCACACTCTGCCATGTGCCACTTTCAGGTCTCCTCACCACACACTGCTGGTGTGTTCCATTTTTTATCATTAGGGTGCTGGCAGATTACGGGCTCCCATAGCTGCTGCCAGGCCCCTAATCTGCCATGGGCCCCCTGTACCGCCTCCTCATGCTGCTGCCAGGTCCACAGTGTCTCATGCCATGTGCCACTTTCAGGTCTCCTCACACTGCTGGTGGTGTGTTCCATTTTTTGTCATTAGGGTGCTGGCAGATTACTGGCCTCCCATTGCTGCTGCCCAGGCCCTAATCTGCCATGGGCCCCTGTACCGCCTACCTCATGCTGCTGCCAGGTCCAGAGTCTCTCATGGGTCCCTGTACGGCCTCCCATTGCTGCTGTCTCCATCGCCACACTCTGCCCATGTGCCACTTTCAGGTCTCCTCACACTGGTGTGTTACATTTTTTGTCATAGGGTGCTGGCAGATTACGGGCCTCCCATTGCTGCTGCCAGGCCCTAATCTGCCATGGGCCCCTGTACCCAGCCTCTTCATGCTGCTGCCAGGTCCAGAGTGTGTCATGGGTCCCTGTACAGCCTCCCATTGCTGCTGCCCAGGAGGCAGCAGGGTCGCAGCAGTGTCAGTGGAGGGACCACTGCTGGTGGCTGTGTTCCAAACGGCCACGGAGTAGAGCACCAGCTCCACTGCAGCCTACCACCCACGGCCCCAGTAGTGGTGCCGGTGTGCACGGAGGAAGTAGCAGTCAGCCAGTGAGGAGTAGCGGGGCCAAAGTTTCCTACTCGGCGGTGTGGCAATTTTTCGTCAAGCCGCCCGAGGAAGTAAACGTAGCCGTTTATGTCGTCTATGTGCTCCAGAAAAGTCAAGCTGTGGCCAGGGGGCCATGTTGGGACTACAGCGCTGCGTCAGCATATGCAGCGTCGCCTTTCGGTGGCCTGGGAAAAAACCGTGATAAAGAGACGGCGGTTTCTGCCAGCCCCAGCCCAGGGTTCCATTTTGTCATAGGGTGCTGGCAGATTACAGGCCTCCCATTGCTGCTGCCAGGCCCGTAATCTGCCATGGGCCCCTGTACCGCCTCCTCATGCTGCTGCCAGGTCCAGAGTCTCTCATGGGTCCCTGTACGGCCTCCCATTGCTGCTGTCTCCATCGCCACACTCTGCCATGTGCCACTTTCAGGTCTCCTCACACTGCTGGTGTGTTCCATTTTTTGTCATAGGGTGCTGGCAGATTACGGCCTCCCATAGCTGCTGCCAGGCCCCTAATCTGCCATGGGCCCCTGTACCGCCTCCTCATGCTGCTGCCAGGTCCAGAGTCTCTCATGGGTCCCTGTACAGCCTCCCATTGCTGCTGTCTCCATCGCCACACTCTGCCATGTGCCACTTTCAGGTCTCCTCACACACTGCTGGTGTGTTACATTTTTTGTCATAGGGTGCTGGCAGATTACGGGCCTCCCATTGCTGCTGCCAGGCCCGTAATCTGCCATGGGCCCCTGTACCGCCTCCTCATGCTGCTGCCAGGTCCACAGTCTCTCATGGGTCCCTGTACGGCCTCCCATTGCTGCTGTCTCCATCGCCACACTCTGCCATGTACCACTTTCAGGTCTCCTCACACTGCTGGTGTGTTCCATTTTTTGTCATAGGGTGCTGGCAGATTACGTGCCTCCCATAGCTGCTGCCAGGCTCCCTAATCTGCCATGGGCCCCTGTACCGCCTCCTCATGCTGCTGCCAGGTCCAGAGTTCTCTCATGGGTCCCTGTACGGCCTCCCATTGCTGCTGTCTCCATCGCCACACTCTGCCATGTGCCACTTTCAGGTCTCCTCACACACTGCTGGTGTGTTCCATTTTTTGTCATAGGGTGCTGGCAGATTACGTGCCTCCCATAGCTGCTGCCAGGCCCCTAATCTGCCATGGGCCCCTGTACCGCCTCCTCATGCTGCTGCCAGGTCCACAGTCTCTCATGGGTCCCTGTACGGCCTCCCATTGCTGCTGTCTCCATCTCCACACTCTGCCATGTGCCACTTTCAGGTCTCCTCACACACTGCTGGTGTGTTCCATTTTTGTCATAGGGTGCTGGCAGATTACGGGCCTCCCATTGCTGCTGCCAGGCCCCTAATCTGCCATGGGCCCCAGTACCGCCTCCTCATGCTGCTGCCAGGTCCACAGTCTCTCTCATGAGTCCCTGCACGGCCTCCCATTGCTGCTGTCTCCATCACCACACTCTGCCATGTGCCACTTTCAGGTCTCCTCACACTGCTGGTGTGTTACATTTTTTGTCATAGGGTGCTGGCAGATTACGGGCCTCCCATAGCTGCTGCCAGGCCCAATCTGCCATGGGCCCCTGTACCGCCTCCTCATGCTGCTGCCAGGTCCAGAGTCTCTCATGGGTCCCTGTACGGCCTCCCATTGCTGCTGTCTCCATCGCCACACTCTGCCATGTGCCACTTTCAGGTCTCCTCACACACTGCTGGTGTGTACCCATTTTTTGTCATAGGGTGCTGGCAGATTACGGGCCTCCCATTGCTGATGCCAGGCCCGTAATCTGCCATGGGCCCCCGTACCGACTCCTCATGCTGCTGCCAGGCCCATAATCTGTCATGGGCCCCTGTTGTCGCTTGTTGGCATATTCCGCTCGTTCAGATGCTCCTTCTCCTGCTACTCCTCTTCACGGATTCCGTCAGCAGTCTTTCTTGGAATCCGTTTCCAAGAGACAACAGTTTGCGAGCACGCACCCGACGGTGCAGAAAGCTGAACGTCCCTCCTGTCCAAGTTGCTGCTGCCAGGCTCGTAATCTGTCATGCGCCCCTGTACCGCCTCCTCATGCTGCTGCCAGGTCCAGAGTGTGTCATGGGCCCCCGTACCGACTCCTCATGCTGCTGCCAGGCCCGTAATCTGTCATGGGCCCCTGTACCGCCTCCTCATGCTGCTGCCAGGTCCAGAGTGTGTCATGGGTCCCTGTACGGCCTCCCATTGCTGCTGCCAGGCCCGTAATCTGCCATGGGCCCCCGTACCAACTCCTCATGCTGCTGCCAGGCCCGTAATCTGTCATGGGCCCCTGTACCGCCTCCTCATGCTGCTGCCAGGTCCAGAGTGTGTCATGGGTCCCTGTATGGCCTCCCATTGCTGCTGTCTCCATCGCCACACTTTGCCATGTGCCACTTTCAGGTCTCCTCACACTGCTGGTGGGTTCCATTTTTTCATAGGGTGCTGTATGACCTCCCATTGCTGCTGCCTCCACAGCCACACTGTGGCTCCACACTCTGGTTTTGGCCCCGTGACTGCCCAAATGAGTGAAGTGTGCGGTGATTCTAAGATCGACGGCTCTCATCTGCATGTCATACTGACTGTCAGTATTATTTCTCTTCCCCAGCAGACTCCAAGGGCATTTAAATTAAAGGTACAGTGTTCTGCACTAATATAAAGGCTCTCTGAAGCCTAGAAACACCCTTTTATAAGTTAAATTCGCAGCGAATATATTCGACTCGAATCAAAATTTTTTCACGAATTCGCCGAATCAGTCGAATCGAATTTTTGAATAATTCGCTCATCTCTACTCCAGATGATGTTAGGTATGAAGAAACACATCGGAAGGAGCTTGCTGTGAGGCCATCACACAATTGGAAGTCTGCGAAAAGTAATTTTGATGTTACTGGACGACATTTTATAAACGCTTTTACTTAATTTTAATGTGAGTGGTTTACTTTTATAAATAAAAGGATTAATTGAATGGCACACACTATGTGGAGCTTTTTTGTTTTTATCTTTGATATGTCAATATCGGGATGGATACGTAATTGAAGATTCCAAAGTGTTTTCTGAGATGAATATGTTGCCTTCTACCCTCTGAGGATTGCCATTAGGATCTGTGAATAATGCGCATGTTGACCTTTCTTTAACCAGAAGGTCGTATATTTCTGGCAAGCCTTGCATTACTTGGTGGAGGATCCTTCTGCTTTTCTGGGAAATACTCCCATCCTACAGCTGTCATTTGGAGTGGCATGCTATCCATCACTATTCCAGCCTTTGGGACTTTATTATACTGTATATTTTGCATTGCACTTGCATTTTTGGACATTTAGTATTTGATGCACATTTTTAATATTTAGCACATTTGTGTGTTTTTATGAATACATGCAACGCTGTATTTTGTGACTATAATGTCTCATAGTGTGTTTGCAGCTTTTCCAAGGTTTTTATACAATTTCATTTCTTCTCATTTTTTGTTTACCTAAGCATAGTTCACATATTTTTCAGTATTATCTTCAATTATTTTATTTTGCAGTCATTTTTTTTAAAAGGCAAACAAATCAATTTTAAAATCTTTAAATTGTGTGCAATTGAAAGATATTTAAAGATATTGATTGACAGGTATGGTATTTTGTGAACTAGTAAATCCAAGTGGTCACTTGTTCCATGCAAGACCGAATTGCCTTTCATGTGCTTACTAAACATTCAACCGTCAACACCCTAATCTATGTTGAATTGAAGAATGTAATGCCTCCGCATTCAAGGAGTCCTTTGGTATTTTGCAATCCTGTAATGTTTTAACAAGTGTGGCATATTTTAAATATACAAAGTATTTTTATTTGGCATATTTTTTGTAAATAGGTGTGTCAATATAAAATTTAATAATTTCATTTAGAGAGCCATGCCCAGAGACAATAGGTAGACCAGGATCCTTTAAATGTACTTTAGGAAGGGTATAAAATGTTGCCAGAGTGTGATTTCCAATCTTTGAAATTTTAGCAGTATTTTTAGTAGTAGTTCTAGGCTTGATTAGGCTTTGGGGTGGGGTGAAATGTGTTCGGGGCATGGCTTTAATAGACTGAGCTAAGGCTGTTTTTGCCTGTCTATTATATGGCTGGGTGAGGTGTGTGGCAGTTTGGAAGCCTCCTCTCATTTTGTCTGAGAAAACTCTTGCTGAAAAGTATCAACCATTCTTTTAGTGGTATTTTATAGCATTCCCTGTTGGATAGAGTTTCCATACACTTTTGATCTTTTTGGCCCCATTCAAGGTAATCTTGTTGCCACCTATATCTGTTCATTTTGTTAATTAGATTAAAATTTTTAGCTTGATCCTGAAGCATTATCAACACTGACTGTTTTTAATTCGTGTGCTACTGGTATTAGTAAATATATAGTATTTACTTGTTTAAAACTTTTTTTTTTTACATTTCTTTAGTTACTTTCTGATTTTCATGCCTAGGCAAATGATATATCCCATGAGTCTTCAGGAGGGAAGGATGGAGTTTTCTCAGCTAAGCACACCCTCCTGCCTGCATGCCTGAGCTAAGAGCAGGTGGATTTCAGGAAGTAAATGCTGCATAAACCATCTGCCCTTACTCAATATGGTCACTGCCATAAATGCTAGGGGGTGTTTATCAAAGTGATTTATTAGCAAAATAAAGCATGGAGACATGGATGAGTGGGTGAGTTTGCTTTGAATATTAAAAATGAATTAAATTGTGTTAATGGTTTGTGGTGCTCAGATGCAGTGAGGTCCCACTTTAACCTCCCTAACGGTATGATTATTTCAGGTTTTTGGTGCTGAATGCGGTACCATTTTTTTGCATGGAAATATGTATTTTTTTTATTGTAGGCCTGTAATTTAGTAATAACTCACTGAAATCTGTCCGAACAAGAGTCTAATAAACATCCCGGGTATGATAAAATTTGAAACACGAAATCATAAATTATAATTTAATAAATAATAATAAAAAATAATAATATAATAATAATAAATTTAATTAAATAATATAATCAAACCAAAAACACTGAAATTTGAAATATAGCGCCAAGTTCGCTGAGCAAAGTCGCAAAATCGTTTTCAGTGTCTGATGACGAATTTCCCCACAAATCATTATCACTCAATTCTGCAAGTGGTTCTGATTTACTATCGCTGTTCTCTAGCCGGTCTAAAACCGATTTTGACATAAAGGGACGCTTTTTGGACTCCATGGACTTTTCTATGTCTCCAGGCAGAAAGAACAGTCAAAATGCAGGCAGGGCACAGGACAAAGCACTAGGGACAAAATGTATGTGAAATGGTTTGATACAGTAATGTTTTACTATGTAATAATCGTTTTTAAAAAAAAAAATTTCATTTTTCAACATTTTCAAATTTGGCGCCCGTATGTCCCGACGTCACAGGGACCGGCACACGGAAGCCGGATGCCGGCATCGGCCGGAGGAGATGTCTGGGGACGCTGCAGGGAATCCCTGTGCACTGCAGGGAATCTGCATGCTGTGTATGCCCAAGTGTAGCTCGGGGTTACCGCTTTTGGTACTGAAACTCTTCCCCGAGCTACACTCGGGAATACTGCTAGGGAGGTTAACTTGTCATCTAACAAAGGATGAACTTCTATATTATCAATTTCCCAGTTAACCAAGGCCACCAGGCATTCATGGAGATAGCTGGGAAGAATGTAGATGGGCATATTGAATATTGTTTAAATCTTCTGTTTCCCCCTTCAATAAAGTCATAAAGGTTAATAAGCACCTGTGTTCTGTCCTGTTCAACTGATCCCCATAATCAATTAGACCTCCCAATAGAAGGTTTTGTTTCTTCAAATGTATTATTTTAAACAGTGTTTTAAGCCCAAAAAAAGATTACTATTTTTGTTTTTTAATTTACCTATGTTTTTTCCAGGACAAACAGACACATTTTTCCCTAATACTGCTGCTTTTGAATCTTTCGTGAGAAAATGTATAGGTAAATTATCTATCTGGTTTGAACTTTGACTAAGAATTGTCTACATTTGTTTTCTTGGGGTAAGTTGAATTAATGTTTGTGCATAAGGGAGGAAAATAAGAAATCAAGGTGAGTGTGGTACCCATTGCTCCCAAAAGTTTGGACTCTTGCTTTGGAGGTAATTGAAAATTAGAGAGTATTATTTGAGAGACAACAGGAACAAATATGTCTGGATAGAATGTAAGCAGCTTGGTAAGAATGTAATGTAAAAGGAGAGATGAACCAAGTTTAATTTTGAAATAAACAGTAGAATGTACAATATGAGTGATAAAAGCTACAATTATGTTTGAGTGCCTGAGCACCAAAATAGGCCAGAAACATAAAAAAACATAATGTGTGGCACCACTACTCTGCCTGGGCACAGAAATAGGCTGCACATTTCAAAGGTAATGCTGGAGCTTACAGCAAACATACAAAAAAAATGACAGCCGAGGTCCATATTGTGTAGCATCTCTAACGTCCCAAATCACCAAAATAGGCTATAGGTGGCCCGAGTTAGTAATGGTAGCAAGGATCAGGATTTTATTTTTTTGAGGGCCAGGTGACACTTACAAATTTGGTATTTTGTAAAGGTTCGTTTAGGTGGTTTGTTGTTTTTTGCTACCTAAGACAGTTTTTTTTAATTAACCACTTGCCTACCGGGCACTTATACCCCCTTCTTTACCAGGCCAATTTTCAGCTTTCAGCGCTGTCGCACTTTGATTGACAATTGCGCGGTCATGCAAGATTGTACCCATATGAAATTTTTATCATTTTTTTCTCACAAATAGAGCTTTCTTTTGGTGGTATTTAATCACCGCTGGGCACTTTACTATTTGCGCTATAAACAAAATTTGCAAAAAAACTTAAAAAAAAAAGTTTCTTTGTTTCTATTATAAAATTTTTCAAACAGTTACTTTTTCTCCTTCACTGATGTGCGTTGATGAGCCTGCACTGATGGGCACTAATAGGCGGCACTGATGGGCACTGATAGGCAGCACTGATGGGCACTGATAGGCAGCACTGATAGGCAGCTCTAATGAGGTGGCATGGATAGGCGGCACTGATAGGCAGCTCTAATGAGGTGGCACGGATAGGCGGCACTGATAGGCAGCACTAATAAGGTGGCATGGATAGACGGTACTGATAGGTGGCACTGATAGACAGCACTGATAGGTGGAACTGACTGGCAACACTGCTGGGCACTGACTGGCGGCCCTGCTAGCCATTGACTGGCGCAACTGCTGGGCACTGACTGGCACAAACTGCTGGGCACTGACTGGTGGCACTGACTGGCAGCACTGCTGGGCTGCACTGATGGGCACAGGTGTGTGGCACTGGTGGGCACAGGTGGGTTGCACTGCTGGGTGTAGGTAGGTGGCATTTCTGGGCACAGGTGTGTGGCACTGCTGGGTGGCACAGGTGGGTGCACTGCTGGGCACAGGAGGGTGTACTGCTGGGCACAGGTGGGTGCACTGCTGGGCACAGGTGGGCGGAACTGGTGGGTGACACTGCTGGGCACCGATCATCAGGGCACTGATCATCAGTGCCCTGATGATCGGTGTCGATCCCTGCTCTGACAACTGCTGGTTTTCGTCAGTACTTTCCTCACGCCCTGACAGCGTCATTGGACACGGCTGATCACATAGTAAAAGGCCACTGTGATTGGCCTTTTACCACATCACGTGATCAGCTGTGTTCGTAGGACACAGCGATCATGGAGATCGCCCGGGGCACACCCACGGGGTCGTGCAGGAGAGCACATTCTGGGAGAACGTCATAGGACTCCCTCCCAGAACTGGCCTGCTGCAGTGTAGCTGTCATTTGGCTATCTGCAGTTGGCAAGTAGTTAAATGAGCTGTCCACTCTGTCAGGAGACAAATAGATATATCCTTTTGTAACAAAATCTCCTGCTATCCTGAAGAACCTCTCAAACAGCACATTGGCTGCAGGGCAAGCCAAAAGCTCCAGCACATACTGTGCAATTACCAGCAAGTGTTCAAGCCTTGACCTTCAATAGTCCATAGGATCCAAACTTATGAGAGAGACTGCATCAGCCTTGTACTTGATGTAATGAACAATTATGTGGTTCAGGTTCTGCCAAACCTAGACACCTTGGATTACAAAAATCTTGTAAGCGGTACCAAGGCAATTTTTCTGGTGGATGAGATGGTGGCAGTAGATAACCAATTCTACCTTGTATCAGGAATCCAACAATGTGACCAATTAATACCTGTCCCTTTATTTGAATCCTGACTCCTGAATCCTTTTGTCCTTTAGAATGCATTTGAGCATGAAAGACCCCATTATTCATGAATTGCCTGCAACAAAACTGTCCTTAACATTCTCATTCCACACATATACATCCTTCAGGATTTGGAAAGGGAGTCTACCCAATTTCCTCTCCCTGCTCACCTTTAGTCCCCCAGCCCTTCTCCTCCTTGTATTCCTTCTCTGCTTCCTGCTACCTCTTCCTCACAGTGATGGTGGCAATAGGCAAAAGATCCTGCTGGCTCTGAAGCAGCAGCAAGTCTTCCTTTTCCTCCTGCTGCTGTGCCTCTGCTGCTCAGGCTGTCAGGCCATGGAGTCCATAATCCATAAAAAACTTGAGAGGAACTGTGTCACAAATCCCCATCTTCTCACAGCTGCTTATTATCCATCTGCTTACCATTTTGGTCACCTCTTCCAAAACTAACACTGCAAGCACGCTGAATGATGGGGCATTAATGTGGTGGAAAAGACCCCAGCACCCCAGAGCATTTCTTTGTACCATGATCAAACAGGTACTCACTTATGCTGCTTTTCTCTTATTAAGTTTGGTTTTGATCATTGAGAATGGTTTTGTCTGCCTTCGTAGCTATATACAGTCTTTCAAATTTCCAATGTGAAAATGAAAAGAGAGAACACTAAACGATAATCTCAAGAGTCCAAGATGCTTAATTGGTAATTATCACACATGACAAGAGTTAGGCAAAAAGACAGTTAACCTGTTTCGGAGGCAAAAAATCCAACATCAGGGCCTGGACAATGTAGTAAAAGGTGTCTATTGGACTCAAAGCAAAACTCCTTAATATAAACCTCTGACAGGAGAAAGAGTTAGTGTGAGCCTGCTTCTACAGCCATGTAGAGCCTGACAAAAATAGCATCAAGTGTGAAAAAAAATTGTGAGGGACCGCCGAGCGGCACCACTAGCACTCCACTGGTCAGGTGTGCCCAGAGCGCGGAGTCTAAGCCCCAGGGTACTTGTTCACCAGAGCCCCTGATGGTGGGGATGGACTTGGAGTACCCCGGGACCAGGTCGCCACTACTGAGCACACCTGTCAGTGGTAGGGGTGTTCGCCAGGGGCTCCAACCAGGGAGAGACAGATGGTGACCCCGATGGGATGGATGGATGGCTGAGCAAGTGTGAAGTCAGACAGGCCGAGTTGGTAACGTAGAGGATGGTATGGTACAAGGGAGCGGGCAGAGAATCGTCGGGTCACACGCCAGGTCAGCAACAGTAGGTCAGATCTAGCGAGGGGCATTCAGAAAGAGAGGTCAGGCAAAGCAAGGGTCTGGGCAGGAGAAATCAGCAGGTCAAGAGCAATCCGGGTCAAATAACTTACTAGGCACAGGTTCAGATTCGCAGGATACAGGTAGGACCAGAAGGCACTGAATGACAGCTCAGGGACATTTAAATATCCCGCCCTGCGCTGCCATTGGTGCCCAGCGGGCGGCCGCGGCTTCTACTGCGCATGCGCAAACTCGAACGCCGCGGCCGGCCTGGACCTAGCGCCCGTCTCCTTGCACAGGGCGGTGCACTGCGCCTGCTCTGGGACCATCGCGGCGGGGATCGAGGGGATCCCTGACAAAAATACAATTAGCATAAAGCAAAAAATAATATACATAAGTCCAATGGTGTTCAAATCAATGATTGTCGACTGTGATAAACTGAATAGAATAGTCCCAATGTACACTGTATAATAAATCTTCACCCAGTGATCCAGGAACAACAGACGTGTCACCTCCACCAATGGCTAGAATGAAAACTCACCAGAAGATGTTGCTGTTTAGAAACTCATATCCCGCTCCACCAGATGTCAGAATATGCACTATAATCCTCCAAAAACCACCAACAAATCTCTTATAGTGTAGTAGCTTTAAGTGCATATATACACAGATAAAATAGCCAATTGAAAACAAAGAAACCTCTGTGTATTTAATTACATAAAAGGCCTCCAGACACTCAGAATGGCAGCCTCACCTCCAACAATAACGCCTAACAACCCAAGGCCGTTTCATTAGACAACTTCAAGGGTTCATAAACTAACACATAACAGTAGCCATCAATATGTAGCCGATCTATACAGACATTGTGACATCACTTTCTGTGTCTTGGTGCCATTTTCCTGTGGTCTAAAGGAAGTGTAATTACATCACATTCTGTATTTTTGCCATTTTCTTATAGTCTCTAAAGACCAAGACACTGCTGCCATCATGTTGAAGATCAACTCAAAAGATCTAACAGATCACAAAAAACTGGACCCATTCTATTAATCCAGAAAACATAAAAAGGATAAATCAAATACTTTAAAGTATATATCTTGATAGAACCAAAATCACAATAATAAATACATACTGACATAAAGTTTTTCTGGTGGAGGGAAATCTTAAACTACACTATATATATATATATATATATATATATATATATATATACTGAATAAAATTAAATAAAATACATAATTAAATAATATATTTTAAAAAATAATAATTATATAATATATAAAAAATTAGCTGGTATCAATAAAACAATGAATATCCCAATCTACATTTAAACCTAATGGGGCATAAGATTTTAATGCATACAGCAATTTCATTTCAAGTTTAGAAATTTCTATTCTATGGTGGCATCCTCTCCAATTAGGCTGTAATTTAGTAATTGCTGTAAATTTGAGGGCTCTAGGGTCTCTGTTGTGATGTTGCCGAAAATGTGCTGACAACCTATGTTTTGTAAACCCTTTTTTTATATTGTAAACATGTTCCCTAAGGTGATCTCTCAGCCTTCTAGTAGTCCTACTAACATATTGTTTCTGACATGGACACTCCAATAGATACACTGTATATTTAGATTCACATGTCATACATGTATCAATGAAGTATTGTTTACCAGTAAACGTTGAGCAAAAGTCACTACTTTTTTCTTCCTAGTATTATTAACAGTACAAAGAAAAAGAAGGTGAGGGTTTTGGAGGGTCAATTACATTTGGGGCCAGTTTATCCCTCAAAATAGGGGCTCTCCTAAAAATAACCTCTGGTTTTCCTGAGAACTGGATCCGTTTTCAATATACCCCATCTCCTCTCAAGTATCTGCTTGATCTGGGTATATTGAACAGAAAAGTTAGTAATAAAAGGGCAAAAAATGTTATTCTCTTTTCTGTTTAGGAGGACCTAACAAGGTCTATCTGTTCATCCTTGCTACTTCCCAAATAGCGTCTTTTAATAAAGCCTCCCTATATCCTTTTTCTAAAAATCTGTTTTTAAGTAAATTGGCTTGTTCAATATAATCTCCCATGTTACGACAATTCCGCCTCATTCTCATGAACTTTCCCTTAGGAACATTCTTGAGGCCCAGTGGATGGTGGCAATTTTCCAAGGGAATATAACTATTCCTATCAGATGCTTTAAAAAAAGACTTTGTAAAAATTTCTCCCTCTAAAATCCTCAAATTTAGATCTAGAAATTTGACTGTATCCTTATTATATATGTATGACAAATTGATGTTGTAATTATTATGGTTCAAATAGGCCATAAATTCAATTAATGATGAATCATCCCCCTTCCAAAGAAGAAGGTTATCATCAATGTATCGCTTCTATAAAAGTAAATTAACCCATTGTTTATCGAAAATAACCTCAGATTCCCAGTTTTACATAAATAAATTAGCCAAACTGGGGGCAAATTTTGCAACCATAGCTTCCCCACTCTCTTGTAAGTAAAACATGTTGCTGAACCAACAATAATTGTGTGACATCGCAAAATCTAATAATGATATAATGAACCCCTTTTGAGCTGAAGGGATGTCCGAGTTTCTATGATAAAACTGAACCACCTCCCTCCCATCAGCATGTTCTATGTTTGTTTATAGGAAAGCAACATCAGCTGTCACCAAAAATGTATCCTGGTCTACACAAATATCTTTCAATTCATTCAATACTTGTTTTGTATCAATTAAATAGGCCAGAGTCTGTGTAACTAGAAAGAAAATCTATATATTTTCCTATCCTTTATGTTAGAGAGCCTATTCCACTGATGATAGGGCTACCTGGAGGGTTAATGGGGTCCTTATTGACTTTGAAAGAAAATAGAAAATGGGTATCCGAGGGGCTGCTGGAATGAGGAAATATTTTTCTTTTTTATTTAAAATACCTTGTTTATGGACCTCATTAACTAATTTTCTTAAATCTCTTTTGGACTCTATAGTAGGGTCACTATTCAAAGGTGTATATGTCTCCGTATCACCCAAGATATTATACATCTCTCGTACATATTTATCTTTGTCCATAAGCATAATTCCTCCCCCCTTATCGGTGAGTCTAATTGCCAGATCCCGTCTCTCCAAAAGATTTTTTCATTCCTACATAACTGTCTTTTTCATTTTTGACCC